GTTTGATTCTCTCTTATATTTAATTGACTTCTTTCTTCTTCTTGTTGTGATGTTTTTTTTTCCTGAATCATCAATAACTGAATCCTCAGTTCACAGGAGGGAGAGCGACCCCTGCTGGTTAGAACTTATTTATGCTTCATTTCTTAAGCCAAATCCAGCACTACTGTGTGTGTGTGTGTGTGTGTGTGTGTGTGTGTGTGTGGTCCATGTCAACAGTTCTCTTGATGAATTCCTCCTGACTTTGACTTTTCTCTCTGACGTGAAGTAGAACCGTCGTGTTCTCGCTCTTCTCTAAATCGCACCAATCAGAAGGAACCGTCACATCGGAACAAATGTAAGAATTCTGCAGAAGCCACAGACCAGCGTGGTCAGTCAGTCGGTCTGTTGATGAAATGATTGAAGTGCTGGTCTGTGAGGTCTGGTTCAATGTCAAATAAATGAATGAATGAAGACAGACGTGTCTGTGATTCTGTCCTGGTCTGACCTGCAGCACCACTGACCTGCAGCACCACTGACCTGCAGCACCACTGACCTGCAGCACCACTGACCTGCTGCACCACTGACCTGCAGCACCACTGACCTTCTTCACCACGGCTCAGTTCTGCTCTTTTTTTTCTGCTTTTTCTAGAAAAGTCTCAGATGTGGACAATGTGAAGAACCTCCGTCTGATTGTCGTCCGACCGGAGACCGACTGGAGACCGACCGGAGACCGACTGTTTCTGAGGCTCAGCCTCATTGGTCTCCGTGTGTCAGTCTGTTAAAAACATTTGAATCAGATGAGTTACAGATGAATCACGATCAGTCATGATTCATCGTGACCAAATTCAACATGACACATGTTGGAGACACTGTCTTGTTGGACTGTCTCCATATGCAGTGCCATGCTTGTCTTCCGCCCCCTGGTGACGGAGGAGAAGTGGAGCTGTTCCTGATCAGTATTGACTCACACTCCATTCTGAAAAATAACTCAGTTTAAGAACCAGTTTTTAGGGTTGAAAACTCCTGATCCACTAACTGATGCTGACGCAGCTCAACACCACAGACTGACACACGTCAGTCTGTAGACGTCTCCACTCGGACGTCTTTCAACAACACGAACAGATGGCAGCTTGTCTGCTGACGACCTCGCCACCACAGTTTGGTGATTTTATGGTTTATGATGTCAGCTGATGACATCATGGGTTTGGTTTGTTACAGTGTGTGTTGGGATGTCTTTATTACTGTTCCTTTTTCTGCCTGAGGGTGGCGCCGAGTGATGCGATGGATGAAACGTTCTCTGGTCCTGGATGAGCGAGCAGTAAGAACCGTCATCACTGGAGGAGGGAATAACAGTCAACCTGAACACCCGTCTGTATGACTGACACTTCTGGTGGTGAAACTGTTGTACTACAACAACAACAACAACAACAAGGTGTCAACTGTTGTGTTTTCACAGGGCTCGGCTGTGATGATCCTGATCTTCTGATCCAGGAGAACGTGTCCGTCTGGCAACCATTTTTGTTTTTTCTGTTCTTGACCCGAGGTGAAAATATCCATAAAAAGTCCGGAGTTCTCTGAGAGCTGTGTCCAGTTTTATCTTGTAACTGATATGAAAGAGAAGACGGAGGTTGTTTTCTGCTGTCGGCTCCAGGAAGTCCAGGTTCCAGTGTCTGAGGTGGTCTACAGGGGTCTTCACTGCGTCTCCTCCATTAAACCGCTCGTTGCCTGATTTTCTGATGCAACTCAAGGGCAATTTTCAAATCTGGAAAATGTCAAATTCACACAGTGGTTTCCCACGAGGAGAACCAGCCTAGTTCTCAGACTTTGGGAAGAACCAGATTCAGAGAACTTTAATTATTCCCGTGGACCGACGGAGAGGACGTAGAATATGGGTGGATTAAAATACAGATTAAATAAAGAATAAGGCAGATTAAAAATGAAGGAGCAGCAGTCACAGTTATTAAAGAGTAAAAAGTTGAGATTCTACTGTGGAAACGAAACAAAGTCAGAGTCGTCACAGAAACACGTCTTTTTATTGGCTGTTTGAACGTGTGTTTCTGTGTGTTCCTGTGTAGCTGTACTGGTGGGGACACGTGGTTCGGGTCCTCTGGTGTTTTAGGATTACGGTCAGATTAGATTAGGATTAGGGATGTGTTTGTACTAGTTCCCGTTAGAACAACTGTCTCTGATGAAACTTCTCGTTTTTTTCTCTCTGACGTCATCATGCCCCCGTTTTTCCGTCAGACCTGACAGTGAAAACAGCAGCGTCATTCAAACGTCCTCTCACCGGGCAGACCGGTGGTGCAGCGGTTTCAGCAACCTCCTCCACACTCTTCATAGTTCGAGTCTCGAACCCTATCCATTCAGGTCGTGATACATTCAGTACGGACTGTGGCTGCCGCGGTTACTGTTCGCTTCAGGAGACATTCTTGTCGTTGTGCTGGAGCGCCCTCTGGTGTTGCCTTGGTGCTGTGCTCACGCCTGTAAAGAGGAGCGACTTGTTGATTGGTGAATCCTGGTGTTGACTGAGAGCAGTGCGCCCACAAGAGGTGGAAAATAGTTTGACAGAACGGACAAAATGTTTTTAATATAGCAAATCGAATCTGGATACATTTCTGTGACGTAAACGTCACGTGAATCAAATCAAAAAACTCCTGTTTTTTATTTTATTTTATTTTTTGGTGTATTTGACTGAAAACTGAACTAAAGATGAGAAAGAAGAGGAAATGAAGTACAGTTTAGATTACAGTTGAGTCCCCCTGGTGGGAGGAGGAAGCAACTCCTTCTTTGTCTTTTATTTTATTATCGTATTGTGACGAAATCATTCAATTAGAAAAAAATCTAACATTTCATGGTGTTGTGACCTGTTGGACAGACTCCAGCTCTGATGTTTCTGTCTGACCTTCAAGGTGTAAATCATTTCAATTTGACATCAGAGAAGAAGTTTCTGGAACTTTTGAGAAGTTTTACTTTTGGTTTAAGACTCAACACAAAAAGGAAACACAGTCTGTTTCAGTCAAATCAAAGGTCTGGATCCAGGACCTGGACCGAGGTCTGGATCCAGGACCTGGACCGAGGTCTGGATCCCAGTTTGGTTTCAGACATTAGAAACGATCACCTGTGATCCAACATCAGTACTGCGGCCTCTGGACGGGTCCAGACCAGAGTTTGAATAGTAAAAGACAAACGTGGAGCCATCTGTTCCTGTGGGCAGCAGACGGGCCTGGACCTGCAGCGCCCCACAGCTCTGACCACACATCCGTCATCGGTCTGACGGGTCGGTCTGACGGGTCGGTCTGACAGGTCGGTCTGACGGGTCGGTCTGTGCATTACTAACCTGTTAGCACACGACTTCTTCATCTATGTTTCACCTTTACCCCCCTCCGCCCCCCCCCCCCCCCCCCCCCCCACCCCCTCATACAAACGCTCCAGTGTCACAGACCGACCTGTGGCTGCGGTCTGATGACCGTCTGATGCAGACCTGCAGCAGAGACTCTACGGTCCAGACCAGGAGGACGTTCACGCTGAGGAACAGAGGCAGAACAAAGAAGGAGATCAAAGCCACCAGCCCCATCAGCACCTTCAGCCCCAGGCAGGGGTAACTCCAGCTGCCCTCAGTGGTAAATGTCAGGTGTGTACACGTGTTCTTCCAGTTCCAGGAGTCTGTTCTGCCCCCGTCTGTCTGTGGAGCGGGGACCAGGAGTTTCCAACAAACGTCAGAGTTTCGTATTCGCTGCCTGAGCAGGAGGAGCAGGAGGAGCAGGAGGAGCAGGAGGAGCAGGAGGGGCACGTCCCAGGAGGCACTGCCGGTGCCGGCGGTGAGACTGGTCCAGGTGGGTAAACACTGGATGAGGGAGTTGGCGTTGAGCAAACAGGCCGCCGTCCATCCTTGCTGCAGCGTCCAGCGCCACCTGACGCTCAGAGCCACGCCCACCCACAGCAACAGACAGCAGAGGTAACCCCCGACCACGTCCACCCTGCTGCTGAGCTCCTCCTCCACCTTCACCCCGTCCTCTCCCTCCTCCTCCCCGTCTCCACCTCGGCCGTGTTCCCAGGTCGTAGTGTCGGTTCTGCCAGCAGGGGCAGCGTTCAGCCACAGATGTCTGATCAGAGTCTCCGCCGCCATCAGAGGTGTGGTCAGCAGGATCCCCACGCCGTACGTGTGGCTGAGAAACAGTAAGAAGCGCAGGGCGATGACATCACTCAGCGGCGTCAGGTCGACCAACCAGGACTCCAGGATGGAGAGGAGAACAACAACCGCTGGAAGAAAAACAAACTTTAGTGGAGTTTAAAAAACAAAACAAAAAGAAAACAGACTGAACGACAGACTGAACGACAGACTGAACGACAGACTGAACGACAGACTGAACGACAGACTGAACGACAGACTGAAC